ATTTACTATGTCTATTCCCTCTGTACTACCGCCGATTCACCGGATAACTAGATATTCCGAAGGCTCTTCTACCAGTATTTCCTAGTCGTCGATTTTCCGTTATCCCTTCGTACGGTTAACAAAATCATTCTGATGACGATCATTGAGCTCTTCTGAATATATTAGCTACGATATATTGCTGATGTAATAATCGTAGAGATATTTCTCAATCAATATTGTTTGATAACGTTTCAGCGACGGAGCTGAAGGCACCTTGCCGTTTAGTCGCAATTTAATTTGCGGTAAGTGAATTAAAAATATGGATACTATGTCTGGAACTCTCTTTAGCTCTTTTACCTACTAGCGTAACAGTTCGTATAATGATAATTGTTTCAAATGGTTAAAACAATGACTTTTTTAAATCTCCAAAAGCACAATGGTTATCTGAGTGTTTATATTACGAATCTCGAATATTGAGAGTTTCTTATAATCGTTATTCTCAAATTTTGTATCCGTTTAAGAACAACTTCGAGACTTTTTATTCTTAAATAGGTGCTAGAATGATCGCAGAGAGCTTACTATCAGACAGAACTCTGTAATATTTCGTTTTTTTTCTGCCTCTTTCTATAATCTACATCCTTCGTGTTCAACAATACCGAATTTACTTTATATATTGTTATTAATTCGATGGTCTCATCTTTTCTCCATCCTTTTTTTGCATTCTGCTACTCTCCGACTGTCATTTTCAAAAATGCGAAACTAATTCGTATTTCCGAGAAAAAAATCAACTGCAAAGAAAAATATAATGAAGTCATTTTTTTTTCTCGACCCACTTTCAACGTCGTTAACATGAAAACTAGGTCTGACTTATCGACATCAAACTCAAGAACTTTTAAGACGCGAGACTCTCGTTCACCACCCTTTACCTAGAAAAACACAAAAGAACGTTATTTTTCCGGAGTTGCGCCTGGCTCATGGAGAAAAAAGATAGAGAGGATATAACGTCGTTCATCAACAAGCAGAAAGCTTTTCCGTTGACTGATGGTTCGTTGACGTTAAATCCCATCGCGTTATCCGGTCGATTCGTTCATTCTCGACGGTTCGAACGTGGCCTTAAGCCTTGCTCACAACCATTGCCACTACCATTAGCATCGTTATCATTACTACCAGCAGAAACTCAATTTTTATTCTGGACTTGCATGTGAACGGAAAAAGAAAAGAGAGCTGATGGGAAGACTAGAGATAGGTGTGTAGAGAGTTTTCAATCCGATACGCCACGACGCTGCCGAGATGTTCGATAGCTTTATGGTCTAACGATAATCGTAGTGACAAGGTTTTAGCGCATAATAGGTTGCGGATAATTATCCGTAATTGGTCTTCGAAGGTAGACTGCCAAGAGGAAAGCGTACGATATTATTAAGTAGAAATAGAAGCATATGACAAAGGTAAGAGCGGTCAGCCCTTTTGAAAGGAAAGAGAGGAGAATGACGACGACAACTCGGACGAATAGTCTTTTTTCCGTTTCGACCCTTCGCTAGAACCCTTTGCGGAATGAAATCACTTTGGACTGTCTGCCTGGTTGCCTACAGCCCATATCCACTGACTCTCACCCCTCGACAATCCGCTCGAGATGGTTACGCGTCGCACGGCCAACTCATTAAATACCGATCAATGGTGCAACCTGTTACATTTACGTTTGACTCCGTCAACCGACGTACGATCTGTTTTATTGATTCAAGGATAACGGTATTGATGGAAAATAAACTTTCATTCTGTATATAATATCGATTTATAATAATTTATAAAAAAAAAATTATTTTCATCAATATTTTTGATATAGCAGACGATGGATATGTAAATTACTTTCTATAAACATGATCATTGAAAAATGATGAATTTATCACGATCAAGTATATTTAACGCTCGTTAACTTTCTCAAATTTATTTTCAATACGAATCGCTTATAAGCTTCAGGATAAGACGTACGATGTTTATCTGCAGCAGTACTCCCTATAGGAACGCGGCATTCCTCTTTTAATTGCATGAAGCAACGTGCGATATTAAGAACGTCTAATTAGAGATGGCGCAACATTCATTAAGTACGTGAAGAAGGGAGAGAGTGTATGTGTGTGTTTAAGAGAAAGAGAGAGAGAGAAAGAGAGAAAGGGAGATTCACTTAATTCTACAGTGCAGTTTCGTCTGATTTACACACTCGTTGTCGTGACAGCGAGCTCTTGCATAGGTCTTCCAGTCCTAGGAACTGTCTTATCTTGGCGAATAAGCTTCCAATGAGATTACGAATACGATTCGATACCATGCGCTACGTACATTTTACGAACAAACTACAAGCCAGGAAGATTGCTTGACATCTACCGTGAATGCTATTCATGATACATCAGCTAAAAGATATGCTCTTTTATGACTACGTATAAGATCTTTGTCGTCTTAAATCTATGTATTTTAATCTCTATTACATGATCTCTATTACACATATATTTAAATACAAATATAGACGTGTATTTAATATGACGTATTTATTTGTCACTTGACATTATTTACATGTTAATATTACATGTTTTAGTATTTACATATTAATGTTTTGTTTTTTACGATCGTTGATGTATAACAAAATACACGAATACTTCAATTTCTGGATATGGGTTTTCTTTCAGGCAGGAGGTATTATATGTATCTTTGAATAAAATGCAGCGGTGTTATATTGAATAATAGATGTCTCTTCGAACGCGAAAAATCCCGATGAAAACAATTTTTGAATTTAATTAAGTGCCAATTTTACATCAGATATGAAGCTTCTTGACATGCTTCTACAGTAACCCAACGTTCCATCTATTCGAAAATTATATTCTAAATAAATTATATTCTTATATTTCCATTTATTTAATATCAGAGATAATTTCTTGTTGTTTAAATAAAGAATTTATCGAATCATCTTTCTCAAAGTTATTTTATTAATATTACATTTTAAAATATCCTTGGAAATGTAATGAAATTATTTGAGAGAAATTTCGCCGATATATTGCTTTTCGATCCGTTAAAAACGATCCGTAGACGTCGGAGATTGAGATAAAGAAAAGCAGCTATCTTTTGCCCGTTCGATCGATCGAATTTATTTCCCCGGAATGAAATTTCGAGAAGAGCACCTTTGAACAAGCCACGGTCAAGAAAGAGGCGAGTTCTACGTTCTACGTACTGAGCAGAGATATAAATAAAGCACTTTGGTCAACTTTACGCTCCCCACGTGTCTAGGCGTAAATTTTAAAAAAGAACATCCAAAATGTTTCCAGCTCTTGAAGAAACGACGACGTATCGATAGAAAATAATAGTACTCTATAATAGTAGTAGTAGCAGTAGTTGCGTTGATAGCAGTTGTTTAGTAGTAGTAATAGCAGTAGTTGTATTAATAGTTATAGTAATAGTAATAGTCATAGTAATAGTAGTAGTAGTAGTAATAATCATAATAGTAGTGGTAGTAGTATTAGTAGTAGTAGTAGTAGCAGTAGTAGTAGTAGTAGTAGTGGTAGTAATAATAGTAGCAGTAGTAGTAGTAGTAGTGGTAGTAATAATAGTAGCAGTCATAGTAATAGTAGTGGTAGTAATAATAGTAGCAGTAGTAGTAATAGTAGTGGTAGTAATAATAGTAGCAGTAGTAGTAGTAGTAGTAATAATAGTAGCAATAGTAGTAGTAGTAGTGGTAGTAATAATAGTAGCAGTAGTAGTAGTAGTAGTGGTAGTAATAATAGTAGCAGTAGTAGTAGTAGTAGTGGTAGTAATAATAGTAGCAGTAGTAGTAGTAGTAGTGGTAGTAATAATAGTAGCAGTAGTAAGATTAGCGAGGAACGTATGCTTGTTAGTTCGCATCATCCTTGAAAGTTTTCTGATGACGTCGACATATTCTTTCTACGATGTGACTGACATACATATATACGTTTCTACTTAAATACATATGTACCTATGTACGCATGCTAGCGTGACATTTGATCGTGCATGCAATCCAGACGCAACAGAAGCGATTGAACGAGCAGTATGCAACGATGGATCATGTAGCACATGCGGAAAGAAAAAAATAGAAAGAGAGAGAGAGAGAGAGAGAAAGAGAGAGAGAGAGAGAGAGAGAAAGAGAGAGAAAGAGAGAAAGAGAGCAAGCAAGAGAGGGGAAGATAAATGTGTTTGTCTATGAAGTTATGCAATATTCTGCATCCGATTATTTTCTAGAATACGAATAAAATGAAACTAATGTGATAAGAAACCTACATAGTTCGTTAACAAAAAGTTGTTATCGTCGTCGATAGTTCGTCTAACGGTGCATGCTGCTGCTTCCTGCGTCAAATGTTAGGTACTCTACAGTGTGCCGGACATACCTTATTTGCAATTATTTCTCTGTTTCCTCTACAGCGAACCCTATGATTTATTGCGTGCTTTCATAGATCGACGAGCCCGATTATCTGCATCGACCTTTGCCATGAAACGCTTTCAGAGGTAGAATAATGCATCGTGTGTTTGAAGAAAAATATTTCGAAATATGGTTACTTGACGTATTATTATTTGCCTCGCATAGCGTGCAAAATAGAAAGTAGTTAATATTAAAACATTTTTTTTTAGTCTGAGAAAGAATGCTTTAAATCATTGTCTTAAGCGAATTAATCTGTTACAGATATATCTGCAACAGACTATATTTCTAATACAATTGAAAGTATAGAAAATATACCTACAGATAAACATCTTTGGTTAGGGTTGAAATTTATTTGGCACATAAAGAAGATTAACGAGAAAAGATTCGTTTTTTAAGGCTCCTCCAAGAGAAAGGATCTTGCCAACGAACTCTCCAAGTTTTGTAGAGTCCTATTTTCGAATATAAGCCAATTTTAATGAAACATCATTTATCGCATTTATTTTCTATTCCATACAAAAATAGAGATAAAGGGAGAAAACAGACAGACAGACAGAAAGAGAGAAAAAGAGAGAGAGAGAGACAGAGAGAGAGAGAGAGAGAGAGCAACAGAATGTCATAAGCGAACGGACGAACGAGCGATGTAATAACGAGAACGGACATGACCGGTGCATTGAATACATTCACTATGTCTCCCATCCATATGTATGTATACATTGATTGGCTTGCTTGGTATTACGTAATGTCATTAACACGTCGCTTATACACACGCCTATTTCCTTCCATCTTACCACCCTCGTAACCCGACGATCATTGCGTATCTATCATGCCATCTTTTTACCACCCTTTGCTTACACGTGCGAACTGTATATAGAAGATCAACATGATTGCGGACACGTATTGCAATTGCACGAAACATCGTAAAATAATGCGTCTGACGAGAATACGATGCGTAGATAATGGCGTACGTGCGAGCATGTCATAAACACTCCGCTAAATCCCTCTAACTCCGCCATTCTTTTTCTATTTCTTCCACCCTTTCGAATGTTCTCTTGTATATCTCGTTGTCATCGACCGATTAAACATGTGACACCAATTTACTGGCAGCGAATGAAGTTGTATATGTATTATAATATTGACATAATCATTGCCAATGTTTGTAATTTATTGACATATTATTTTTAAGTTAATGATTCGATATGCGGCATATAACTATGGCCTGCCATTACGGACATGTGCATTGGCGCGTACGTCAAGCTTGAACCTACAAAAATAACCTGATACGCATTATTTTTAGCGGTTGCCAAGTAAACGTATTTCGGTGCGGCACGTAAACGTCATTATAAACACAAGACTATCGGATAACCGCAAGACAACCACAAGAGTAGAAGTAGTAACGACCGTCGAAAGTTATCCACATCGAAAATTTGAAGCAATAGGTATATCATACAAGTGTAAAATACATATATATATATATATATATATATATACATATAATGTATATATTATATATTATATATATATATACATATAATGTATATATTATATATTATGTATATATATATATACATATAATGTATATATTATATATTATGTATATATATATGAAATGAAATATATATATGATATACATATATATATATGTATATATGTATGTATACTTTTCAGCATAAATAGGTATAAAATATTAATATTATTAACATTTGGATAAAAGTAAGACAACACAGATTTTAATCTACTGCACTTCAAAATATCATAAAATAAAGGTGTCACATAAAATCGTTACGAGACCCGAGACTCTCCTTATCGTTCACAAAAAAGATTACGTTGATATCGAAGCGTTAGAGTACAATGTTTTAAAGAGAAAGAGAGAGAGAGAGAGAGAGAGAGAGAAGTACAGCTATTATTCAATCGATAGAACACTCTGGAAAAATGTAAACATGATTAGACTTATTTCCGTAAATGTTTTATTCTTTACATATGTGATTATTTCTACATTGTGTAAGAAATATAAATAAGTTTTGAAATATTTTATAGAATTTATATGAATAATTTAATTTACGAAATATGCTCATAAACATTTCATAATACATTGAAATACTTTGCTAAGAAAAATGAGGAGTAAAAAAATGTGTAGCCAGCAGCATAATAAATAGTACTTTGTACAATTTACCAAGAAATTCGGAGGCATATGCATACATAAAATGGCTTTCCCGCCGCGGTCTCGTGCGAATGGCGGGATTCGTCAGAACGCAAAGTTGCGCCTGACAGCGTAGGCGGTAGCTATTTTTGAGATGCTTTTGAGAATCGCAGAGACCAAATTTATGTGGACACCCTGAAATACACTCATGGTAGAGCGAAAAGAAAGAAAAAATGCTAGATGAGTATAGATACCAAAAAGATGAATACCGGGGGTTCTCTTCTTACGCATTTGCAAAGATTTACATACCATGAATTCTAGTGATCACAATTTATCCTATTTCGATGATCACTCGAAAGATAAAGACTATTTTTTTACTCGAGATAAGGGTACCGGGTTTTTGAATAATTTTCATTTCAAAAGTAGTGTCTAAGAGTATTTTCGTGGAAGTAAAAGCATATTTCAGTATTTTTAGAATGATCTTTTTATCACCAAAATCAGATGAAAATTGCATTCATGATAATTTATGGCACAAATCCAATTTTTAGCCGTTTTCTTACAATTCATCAAGGTGCAGTGTCACTACCTCGTGTCAAAACAGCTGAAAGATCCATTACGCGCTTATACAAACATAGAATATTTTGCTTTGTATGTAAAGTAATCGACTCTTGGAAAGAAAGGAACAAAAAAAGAAACCGATAGAATCAATAGCTCTCTAGTGTAACATAAATAAATATACATACATATATTACGTAAGGGGATTCTTTTTCCCTGAGTTTGCAAGAATTTACGTCCTAAGTTTACATCGTTGCAATTTCTATTCGATTTTGATGATCAAGGACTTGTTCGAAAGATAAAGGTTTTCTATAATAGAGAAGGCTGCTCAATTTTTGAAATAAGCATTTACTTGCGTAAAAATTACTTTTGAAAATTACCTATTTTCGGATATAACTTTTGCGAAAAATATATTTTTCAAATATCGAGCACCCTTATCTCGCATAAAAAAAAACTCATCGAATGAGTCCTTTATCATCAAAGATGGACAAAAACAATATATTATCACTCTATATATACATAAGTATCATCAATACCATATGACGTAATGGACGATGCCACAAATTTACTTTTACCTTCTTGTTTCATCGGAATTTTGTACAGCGTCGTGAAAAGTGACAGTCGAGCTATTCACGCTTTATGTATATGAATTACTATCTAAATCGTTTTAAATCAAGTTTAAATCACTCTACGTACTGTCTATCACAATAAGGTCATTAGTTCCCATGATGTATTATTTTTTTCTTTGTTAATATCTAAAAACATTTAAAAGAAACATTTGAGATCAAGCAATATGACGAAATAAGCGAAGAATGAAGAATTGCAATACTTTTTACAACGAAACGTTATTATATTTATTAGTTTTTTCTTAATACTTTTAGTTACGGGTAATAATAAATATTATTACTAAATTATTATAATAATGAATTATTTTATGAAGATGGAAGAAAAGTAATACATTTAATGTCAATTCGACTATGTAAAGAGCATTAATGTTTATCTAGAAATCGCACGTTTCATTTCACTTACGAAATGCGTATTGATTTTGTATCAGTTATTCCGTAAAAATTGACGATCATACACTGTGTCTGATGTCTTAACTTAATTCTTTAATTCACGCACAGGAATGAAGTGAGAGGTACAACGTATCTATACATCGATACGATGAATTGAGAGAAGGGACAGACTTACTTATCCTAATGTATTTTTAGTTCGTTTTTTCCACTCGTCGGTGAAGTCGTTCATGTTTGGAGAGATATTCAGTGAACAGCCTTAGAGAAAATAAAAACTCCTCTCTTCTTCACTCATCGAGTTATTTCTTCTTTTTTCTACTTTTCTTTTTTTTTCCATTGATATATTTCGTTTTTTACACAAAACTATTTCTACAGATTTTGTTCTCTCTCTCTCTCTCTCTCTCTCTCTCTCTCTCTCTCTCTCACATGCTCCTTTTTTTTCTATAACACGAAAACCGGATCGCGGGAATTTTATATCTCATTTATCGCATGAGGTCAATGGATATCTTTTTAATGGATAGGCTTGTTTAAGTCTTTGTAATTTTTTAAACCCAGAACGAAATCATTCACAATAACACTCTTCATACATCTCTATCGAGTGCGTCTCCATTCATTGAATCTATCTCTGTCATAGAAAATTATGCGAATCGAAATCTATTACATCATTCTATGGCATTAGCATGCGATAAAGAATGAACATCGTGTTATCAGCATGATTCGTGTTAAAACGATGTGTAATGTAAGTATTAATCGGTGAACGCTAAAAATTCCATCATAAAGGTTGATTCACACATTTATAATTTTGTATCAATTCAATTTCCGTTTTGTTTTCGTTCCATCATTTCAATCATAGTTCAGTTTTATATTCATTTATATTCGGACAAAAAACATTTTCAGAATTTCGTTAAAACCATTGTTGACGGCGATCTCAGACACAAGAAAAATGTGATAAATTGGTGACTAAACAGAGACTGAACGAAAATGTTTGAACGTGTACATTTAAATTATATATAATAATGTTAAAATCATTGTGACCGAAGAATCGAAACGGAGAAAGAACAAAGATTAAACTGGCATGAGTGAATTGACCTTAAATTGTTGCCACATGATACGGGTCTTAAGATCCCTTTTCTTTATTTCTCTCTCTCACTCTCTCTCTTTCTTTATTTCTCTCTCTCTCTCTCTCTTTCTTTCTCTCTCTCTCTCTCTCTCTTTCTCTCTCTCTCTCTCTTTCTCTCTCTCTTTCTCTCTCTCTCTCTTTCTCTTTCTCTCTCTCTCATTCTTGCTTTTTTCAAATGTGTCACCCAACCATCGGTGGTAATAAATAACGTCACTACGATGACCGACCGCGTATCGCCGTCTGGTCGCTTTAAGTATATAGAATGGATATCATAGGCTCGATATCAATGTTATATACCATCTTCTAGAGACAGCAGTAACGATTTCTTCCACTTCGACGACGCAAACTAGGCTGCATTATTGGTCTTATAGACACAGAGGAGATGGATGGCGAAGTGTCCGCAACGTCAGAAAATCGAAGATACCGAATAGGAAACGCGTCGTCGCTCGAGGTAGCTACAGTTTTCAAACAAATTGTTACTTGTACTTCTTTCATTTTTTATCGCTCTCATTAAAGACAATATTCTACTATATAAATCATATAAATTTTCTAACAATTTAAGGTACTTCTTTATAAAGCAACTATACAACTTTTTTTATCAAAATTTGATTTGTATACTTATCCATGTTTCAATAATGTTTACTAAGATATATTATTTAAATTAAAAAATATATTATTTAAATTTTATAATTTTATTAAGAAAAAATAATTAAAATCTGCGCCAGTGCAAATATTTGAACGCATTCGTTAAAAAAAGACTTCCCATGATTTCTGTGATTCTACCTATTCAGCTAATTTGAAATAAAAAAAAAGCTAAACTGATTCTTATATTGTGGTCATAGTGGCACCGATATCAGACAATTCGACTGATAATCAACGTCGGCCAAACTCGCAATCTTTTAATCATATTAAGAACCAGATGCGTGGTCTCATTGATCGGTGCGACCGATCTTATCAGTCGATTCTAGTCGACGTCGTATGATGATCAAACAGATAAATTCAAATTAGTTTGTTTTTTTTAGCCGATGTATGAATTAATTAAAAAGACATCAAAATGGACATTGAGAAATTGATAAGCTTTGTGCAGGAAATACATTTAAAAGGAGAACAAAAATATTTGTGAAAAACTCGAGGATAGATTAACTATATTGTATCTTGTTTGTTTAAATATATAGTTATTATAAATCATCATTATTATATTATATAATGTACATGATGTATATAATATTTAAGTATATATATATATATATATATATATATATATATATATATATATATATACCTTCTTCCACTTCTTCTTATCATTATTCTTATTATTATATTATTATAATATATATTTTTATAGTAGTAATACCTCATAAATAGTATAGAAACGAAGTTATGTTTTTATTTTTATTGAAATAATATATAATATATAAATTGATTATTATTTTTGGTAAAATAAATGATCATCGAGTAAGGTTATCGTAGCTTTTCTATATGAACATCGCGAAACATGTTTCTTGCTCTTTGGAATGAGTTAGAAAATCAGAGCATTAGTTTACGTACATACACAAATAAGCGGCTAGTTCACAAAAGCAAAACATACACTATTCAAGCGTGTATATAAATATTGTAAGGCAGATTTCAAAGAATGCCACTATAGAAAACTTATTTTTCACGGACAATATCGAAAACAACGTTTACGTCAATAGTAAATCTAGGCATAATTCTTGACCAATTTTGATGAACATTTAAGATCTCATTTTAAATATGAAGTTATAAGCAATGAGTTGTGGCTTTTTCGAATTTTTGAGAAAGCTTTATTTTCTAAGAAAAGAATCGCGTCAAAAATGCTTTATTCTTTTTCGAAAAATTTATGCATAAAAAAGATTCTTTCAAAATTTTTAAAAGTGGATTACTCGTTTGAACTTTTCTTTTTTAAATGATATTTTGTTCATCAAAATTGGCTAAGAATTTTTTGTTGGTGTAAACCATTATATTAGAATTGATATGTAATCTTAAGAATCATCTCAAACTGAATTCAGTTTCGTGTGATTAATTTTGGTGTCAGGTTACCTCAAGAATAATATACGATTTTTGAACAAGTTATGACATCGACGAATACCAAAAAAGTCAAATCGAGTGAGATGATCGAATCTTATAAGTGCGATTGATAAACTCAATAATATCGAAATATTTACATATATTTTTAAAATAAATTTACATTTTATCCATGTAGAAATTTTGAGAAATTAATCGTCGCTTATTATTGAAGTATAAATTTAAATATTACATATAAAAATATTTCAATACATGAATCATGGATGAAATACGGTTCCATTCGATAAAACAAAAATTTAACAATCAAAATATATTTTGCATGTCTCAATGCGATGCGAATTAATCGAAAAATAACTCCGATCGCTAGAAAATTTTTGACAAATTATCTTTCCATATTTTCAATAACCCGAGCTACATAACGCGTTAGTAAATCATTAAATTTAATCGTAATATTATTTAGATAATTGATTATCACTTGAAATTCATTCGTTTTCAAAAAATTCTTCAAATGTCTAAATAACGACGATATATTGTATTATCGATCATTAATACACTCTAGTGTGAATTTTTGATAAGAAAAAGAAGAAGGTTCGACAAACTCAGGTAAGACAGAGCAGACCTCTCGGTAGGTTGATGATGACGCTTCGCCTTAAGCTTGACACAGCCCGATAACGAGAGACGCGTTCATCCTCCGCGAAGCGTGATTACGATTGATAGGCGCGTCTCGTTCCTTCCTCTCCGTCTTCTTATCTACGTACTCTACGGTAAAACGTACGAGATAAGTGATTCCCTCTACTCTATAGCATAAAAGAAATTCTTCGTTTTTCTCTCTTTCTGTTTCTTTCTACAAAGAGACAGATAATACCATTGTAAGAATAGCGGTAATTTAACGTCCTCTATCTTGTATTCTTTTTTTCTCTCTCTTTCTCTCTCTCTCTTTTTCTCTCTCTCTCTTTTTCTCTCTCTCTCTCTTTCTCATATTCTACGGCCTACACCATTACATATTTATTTACTTGACGCACATCACAGAAAAGTTCTATGTACATATTAGCTAGTCACAGAAAAGCGTATATATGTAATTGCTCGCGTGTCAAATCAACGTAGTCTCGTTGAGATGATTGCAACACAAGTTTCCCTTTAAAATACATTTTATATATCTATACCATGTTTCTCTCTCTCTCTCTCTCTCTCTCTGTCTCCTTTTTTCTTCATTTTTCTCTCTCCCTTCTCTTTCTCTCTTTCGTTTCTCTTCTCTTTCCTTTTTTTTACTCTTGTAATCTTTTTTATTTCACCTTTTTTACTCTGATTGTCCCACGACCGTTTTTTAATCACTAACATGACAAGGTCAGGAATATGTCGTTTTCTCCCCTACTTTAACCCGGATTTTGCACCCCAACTTGGAAACTATAGTACGGTGGTTATCTGTGCTATGTAGAAAAAAAAGAGGGTCGGCTGGAGAGCCGAGTTTGTTGTTTTATTGCCGTACATCGAATAACTGCGAAGTAAGGTAGCCTTTCCTAGCTATAGCCGCCCTGGAAATGTTCACGAGTGGTTATAGCCACGTGTCAATGGTGTCACGTATAAATGGTATATGTGTGTGTATATATATATGTGTATTCTACAGAAATATAAGCACGAAGCAATGCAAAATAGGTAATAGACAAGTACGATGAATCCATTAAGAAGTAACTATTGTTCAACTAACTGGCTCGATATACACTAGCGTACATTGGATGACCTGTTCGCTTCCACGTGTGCCTCCGTTGTATTCTGGAGAAGTCAGTTTCTTCGTAATCCACCGGTATACACCGCATACGCCATATACTCGCTCTTTCTCTTTCCCTCTCCATACCTCTCTTTCTCTCTTTCTTTTTCTTTTGCTTTTCTCCGTATACTTACGGAATGCATTCCTTTCATATTACTTCTGTTTCCTTTTTCTTCTCAATAACCTCTCTTAGCTTAAAATTCGAATCCGACGTGACAACAATAACTTCCGTTAAACTTTTAGTATTCCTAATTTGTCTTTTTAGTTGAAATCACTTCAATTGTTCGAACAAAGTCAAGTGCAGAAATTTTTTGAGCTACTTGAAATTGACAAATCGTTTAAAAAAAATTCGAGTTATTCCAATGATATATACGAAGTGTACGATCGGATATCGAAGAAAAAAAGAGTTTCAGTAAATGATTTGAAATTCGTTTTATAATCCCTAGTAGAAAAATAACGTTACACTTTCCTTAATTAACAAAATATATATACACAAAATATATATATACACACAAAATATATATACATCTATGTATGTATTTATATATATACATATGCGTATGTGTGTGCGTGTATTTTGTTAATTAAAGAAAGTGTAATGTTATTTATATATATGTATAATGTTATGTGTGTGTGTATGTGTGTATGTGTGATATTGAGAATTTTGATCGATGCTTTGTGCGTGAGATGTGAACAAACAGTGTGCATAAGTGTATCGTTTTTAGGTTTTTAGGTCCACTTAGGAATTTTCCGAGGCTTTACTTCAGTATGAATGATTGTTTGTGTTTGTATGTGTATGCATGTATACGAGAGTAAGGCTTGGGTTTTCGAAGAAAAGAACAAGAGGAAAGGCGAACATGACAATCGACAGAAGAAATTTTCAAAAAACACATAAAGCAACTAAGACGTGACTTTAGCCTCTCTTCATATTTTTATATAGTTTTTGTTAATTTTCTTCAATAAATTTTTTATTTTATTAAAATCACCGATAGCATTCCTTCATTGGCTTTCTTCTAGCCGCTGACTAATTACTACGAAAAACAAAAACCACTAGTCATACTCGTATTGGCGATACGTAGTGCCTTACTCTAGCGTAAAGTATGTTCATTATTTCTATTTATTCGAGTGCGGAAAATTGTTGATGGAATTAAAGATAACGCTAAAGCATGGAAAAAAGAATGAAGAAAGTTAAGTCATTAATGGCAGAGTTTTAAACAAAGGTATTGTTTCATTGATCGTAAAGAACTCCCTCGAGTCGTTTTCGATTCAATGTCGTAACAAGATATGGTGTTATCGAGGATATCTCTGCTTCTTTCTTTCTCGTTGTCTTTTACTCTTATTCTCAGAGGCGTCTTCCCGAATACGTGTACCTGCGTTTCATAGCCATCCGATGTTTGCAATCTTATCGAGATCATCCGGAACAACCTATTGTCAGCGTGTGGTTAACCGTGACTATCTAAATTAGAATCAGTGTTGACGATAGGCTCTATTTTCCCTCATACTTCGTCATTCACGCCATTGACAGCGGTTCTTCTCTTTGGGCTCTAACATGTATGTATATATATATATATATATATATATATATATATATATATATATAAATATATATAAATATATATATATATTTATTTATTTATTTATTA